GCCGACAAGATCATAAACTCCTGGCTCGACCTGCTCAAGAGAGAGCACAGTGATCTCATCTCTGTGTTGGAGTCCCAACGTTTCTACGGTGTCGTCGTGAGCAATGAAGCGGTCTTTGTATATGAAGCTGAAGACAGAAACACAAATTATTTGACATAACCAGTCTTGAAATTTACCACAAATGACTTTTGTCGACGCCAAGTTCCTCAGCAAACATGTTCTTGACCTTTTCCATTTTAGTCTTTTCCTTGACGAGGAACTCAATGATCAAAGAGTGCTGTAAATAAACGTATCATTTACGTGTATGCTAAAAAATCGAGAATACCTTTTTGACGACCCTGATGATAAGATCCTCTCTGAATGTGACAGTTTTCTTTGGCATTTTTCAACTGAAATACAACAAATTGAAAAAAATAGAGACAAAAAGTAAGTACAAGGAATGAGGAGACTAATTTTTGAAGTGAAAAACCTCAGAATTTTGAACACATGTCAAAAACCCAAATTTATGCCTACCCAATCGTACCAGGAGAACATCTGTCCCTTCATATTTGTTTTTGTAACCAATTGGACACCACCTGATGCCAAAAAAATGTTTGAAAGAAAAACAAAAGAGAGTACAGGGTTTGAAGAGAGTGAGGGTACTGTAGACATTTAGCTTGAATAAAAACATAAATCAAATGGCATCAAAAGTCTGGGAAATCGCGAAAATGGCTTTTAGACCTTTTCGAAACTGAATTATTTAGCCTGGGACGGCTGGGATAATAGGCGTGGTCAGAATCCTGAACTGTTTTCGACGAAAAACAAAAACCAAAGTCCAGACCGTCACAACAGAACTATTCAATTTTATAGTATCTCATTAGTACGATAGAACTAAACTTGTCATTTTTCGAGAAAATGAGATAAATAATAATTGCGAAAATTGTCTTGTGATTGATGATAATAGTCTCGGGAATGATAGTTTTTCTTTGGAACCGAATGGGGTTTCTAAATATTTCAAAAATAAAGAAATGTAATAAATAGAAATGGAATTTTTGAAAAAAATTGAAAACTAAAGTCTTCTCAATGGTTTTTAAAATCATTCCGAATTTTTTAGACCGAATGAAATAAGACGAACGCTCTATAGAAGATTTGAAACGGAATTTTTTATTGTAAGCAATTAGAATATAACAGAATGACGACACTTCAGAGACAAGAATTTGAAAAATTGTATACTCATTATCAGAAAATTTACAAAAATCACGTCATAACTACTTCAGATGAGAAATTCATTATTTT